TATTTAACCAATTAAATTAACGCAAGACAGAAGACTCTCCCCATCAAATGACCAAAAGTATAAAAAGAGAATAGTGGAAGAAATAAATTAAAATTTAAGCAACCACTAACATAACTGAAGTAAGGGCTGAAGATATGACTCGGGGGTTACGAGCACATGTTGCTCTTACAGAGGACCTGGGCTTTGTCTGCAGAACCCACCACTCTCGCAGCTATCTGTAAATCCAATCCCAGAGGATCTGACGCCCTCTCCTAACCTCCTCAGGTACCAGGCACATACATGGTACATATTTACACATGTACACAAACACCCGTATGCATAAAACTAAAACAACGAAAAGCTTACAGGCGTGCAAGTTAACTTCCAAAAGAAAACACTGGAGTAAGCCTCTCGACAGCAGCCACAGCTGGGTGATTGTGTTGAGCTTTAAAAGACAAGGTATGGGGCTGGGATGCAGCTCCATGATGCAGCGCTTGCCTAGCAGGTGTCTGCACCCTTTAGTTCAATCCCCAGGACTATAAGGTTTTTATTAAGTATTTTTTATTGTTCAGATTATAATAATGACTTTCTTTCCTTCTTCCTGTTCTTCCATCCAACCCCTGCCGTATAACCCTCTTTGCTCTCTGTCATGTGCATGGGCTCTTTTTTCCATAATTGTTGTTACATACAGGTATGTATACATATATACATACATATTCCTAAACAGACAAATACAACCTGCTCAGTTTATACACTTACTTGTGTGTGTTTTCAGGGCTGACTGTATGGTATTGGATAACCAATTGGTGTGTTCTTCCACACCAGTTGTGGTGCAGAGGACTGTTTCTCCCAAGCTCAGCATTCTTTGACTGTCTATAGCTCTTCTTGTAGGGCTGAGGCCTTAAGGGGTCCCACATCCCAACCCTGTCTATGTTAACATGTCTATTGTTCTTGCTAAGCTCACGTTTAGACAGTCATGCTGGTGAGACTTTATGGGTGTAGTTTCTGACATCACTAGAAGACAAAATCTCTCAGTAAGCTACTTGAAGTTCGTTGTGTAGTATGGGGGCCCCATGAACTCTCAGTCATTGTCCTTGCCTTTGCAATAAACAGAGGTCATTACAGTAAACCACCACCAACCAAAACGCAGAGCTGTGGAGTCTAGTCCAAAGGAACACATCTCCAAAGCAACTCCTACGCCTACCTAAGGCTCAAGGCATTGCAGAAGACAGGACAGAAAGATTGTGGGGTTGTTTTTCTTATATTGATGAACAAAAAAAGACAAGCCATGAAAATAAATTATTTTTAGTTTGAAAATAGTTGCAAGTACCTATAGATGAATAAATATGTACACTTGAAAAAAAACAGATATGTGTTCAGTGCCAATGATGAGTTTCTTTGGAGATGGGACTAGGAAAAACAAAAAGGGTATATGATTTGGAAGGATTTTTTTTTTTGAGACAAGGTTTCTCTGTGTAACAGTCTTGACTGTCCTGTAACTCGCTCTGGAGAACAAGCTGGCCTCGAACTCACAGAGATCCACCTGCCTCTGCCTCCCAAGTGCTAGGATTAAAGGCATGCACCACCACCGCCTGGTGGAAGGACTTTTTTTCTTTACAAACATAGAAGTAATTTTGTTTTATTTTGGTAACAGTACCAGGATTGTGTGTGACTTTTCTTTTCACTCTCATGATGGCATTTTCTATTGTGTTAAAGAAAGGACAGTGATCTTTAAAGGGGAAAAATAAAGGAGAAGAGACAAAAATGTCTGCATTTAAGAAGGAGAAAGAAGAGGTGCTGCAACAGAAACCAACACAGGAAAGTAGAGAGATGTATAGTAGGAAAAGGCAGGGCCCTGAAAGGTAAAGGGGAGCTCACAGAGGAGAGGTGTCAGAAACAGAGCTGGGGAAAGGCAAAGATAACCCTGGCCAGGCCAGGGAGCACCTTATAGATAGCTATGGAAGAAAACAAAACAAAATAATGAACTAAATAGTACACTTGATGCATTTTGTACGAGTAGAAAAATCGCCCTAAACTTCTTGTAGTAGAAGTTTTCCAATGGGGCACTCAGACACTAGCATTTAGACACTTGGACTGGCTGTTTTGGTTTTTTTTTTTTTCTGTGTCAACTTGACACAAGCTAGAGTCGTCAGAAAGGAAGGAGCCTCAGTTGAGAAAATGCCTCCATGAGATCCAGCTGTAAGGCATTTTCTCAATTAGTCATCAATGAGGGAGGGCCCAGTCCATGGTGTGTGGTGCCGTCCCTGGACTGGTGATCCTGGATTCTATAAGAAAGAAAGAGCTGAACAAGCCAAGAGAAGCAAGCCTTGCACCCCTCCATGGCCCCTGTATCAGCTCCTGCCTCTAGGGTCCTGCCCTGTTTGCATTCCTGTCCTGATTTCCTTCAGTGATGAATAGTAACAACGGGGAAGTCTAAGCCAAATAAACCCTTTCCTTCCCAACTTGCTTTTGGTCATGGCATTTTCTTACTACAACAAAAACCCTAACTAAGCTGGGCATTGGTGGTGCATGGCTTTAATCCCGGCACTCGGGGGGGGGGGGGGGCAGAGGCAGGATGATCTCTGTGAGTTTGAGGCCAGCCAGGTCTACAGAAAAAGTTCCAGGACAGGCTCAAAGTTACACAGAAAAGCTCTCTCTTGAAAAAAACAAAAAGAAAAAAGAAAAAAAGAAAAAGAAACCCTAACTAAGACAACACTCCTTAGGTGTTGCTCGTCTGCAGTCAACGATAAGAATCCCCAAGTCAAAGGAAGGAAAGTCAAGAAAACTGAGGACTTTGTATTGCTTTCCTAGGTTTGAAAGTGAAGAAAAGGGTGACTTAGGTTGTAAGCTCATCAAAAGTATATAGCTCATGGCCTTCCGACAAGGTTTCACCATGTCTGTCTCTGGCAGTTGTTCCATGGCTTCTCCCTAACAAACAAATAGCAATATCCAAACCATTTCTAGTTCCTGTGTTTTTGCCATACCTTGAACTGTGGAACAAAGTCTTGGAGGCAGTGAGCAGATACAGAGTCCAAGACACAGCTGGCCATATCAGCTAGACAAAAAGGGGGTTTTCATACATTGGAGGCAGACACAGATCTAAGCAAAAGAGAACACAAGAAATTGTGTCACTTTGTGGAGAAGGAGGGAGTCACAGTACAACTGCAGAGGAGAGAGGAAAGCCAGGCTTACACATGACTTCCTTCATCCTCTCAGTAATACATGAGAGAGTATCAGGAAATTCCCTGACTGAATGCCGGCCGCTTGGAGACAGTATATAAGCTGCACAGCAAAACAGAGAGCCCTGACCTTGTCTCCAGATAATATGTGGCTTAGTCATCTGACCTGTGCTGTAGAAACCTACCTCTGCTGTAGATCAGGCGCACAGATGTGTACACACACAAGGAAAGTGAGCAGTTTGGAGTTATCAAAGGTGATTCTCTTTTCATCCTCTGTTCAAGTAGAACGATCAGACTACAGTTAACTCAGTAATCCTGACTTTTCAAACATTAAACAGAAATATAGTAGCCAACTTATGATGGTTCAAGATGTTTTTGACATTTTAATGATGTGGTGATGTACCTATACAAGTATCCCACTGAGTTAAGCTTGGTGTTAGATAATTTTGCCCATATTCAGGCGTGTGTGTGTGTGTGTGTGTGTGTGTGTGTGTTAGAGTGTTCAGCAGGTATCTTTATTCAATTCTGTTTTCTTTTTTACTTAAAATATCGTCAACAAAAATGGGTTAAAGCAGGACCTAACTTGACCAGTAAACACGTCTGTGTTCTGCCATTGGAGATAATACCCATTCGTTTTGAAAATAAACAGGTGTTATACACTCCCTTGCTTGTGAGCAAAAGTGCACCTCATTCACCAAAAGTCTGCACAGCGCGTGCATGGCAGATGCACACCCCACCTATTCTAAAAACCAGATGTTGACCACTGTTTACCTTGTACAGAATGAGGTACTGAGCAGCAAACATTCAGCTCATACAAGTGCCTCTTCTAATGCAGGACGCTCACCCAAACATCACGGGATTTTCAGTGGCTTCCTGAACCGAACCATGGTGGAAAGTCACTGTTGACTGTGATTTGCCAGTTATTGCAAAGTATCGGTTAATTCAAAGAAGAATGGGCAGTGTTTTAATGATTAAAAAAAAAAATCAGAACCTCAATAGCTTGTTCAAAATAACCCACAGTGGCCCAATTCAGCACACTAGAACGCAGAATTAATCAGAAGCATCAAACTCTGCCTACTTACCTGTTTGGAGATAACTATTTGACTCAAGCAGCTGTCGCTATTTGATTTTAATATTTTGTTTTCAAGAGAATATGGGGAGGGGTACAAGAGAAAAAGCAAAGATTTGGTTAATAGCAAAACCAGAATGAAATAGCATTCAGAGCGTGCAGCCTCTTTGAAGAGGTACAGGCTGCATTAATCATGGGTTTCTGAGAGGCTGCGGGTGTTTCTCTGACGTGGCTGGGCACAAAGCAGAGAGAGCCCTGGAAGTTTTTGCTGTGTTAAAAAAGAAAGCAAAGCCTCCTCGGGTCGCTGCTTAGTCTCTGTTGACCACTTTTCTCTGACTCCTCCTCCTTCCCGGGGAAGGTGTGATTCAAATCCCCGGAGCCCCCCTCAAGTATTGACAAGCTGCTGCTCAGTGTTGCTTGCTGGGAAATAAGGAAAGACATTTGACACCAAGCCTCATCTTGGCTCCTGAGAGAACTATCATCTCTGAGGTCACTCGACTTAAAGGGCATTTTTATTATTGTTTTGTCAAGTCTTAGTAGAAGACGACCCTTGATCATGCAAAACGGATCCGGGGGAAATCAGAAAATTTCTTGTCTACTTCTCTGCATTCCTACTCCCCCAACTACCTCCGTCGCCTTGTAGAATTGGCAGGCGCTGGACCTTTTGCATGCTGGAGAAAATCTCTGTTTTGCCTCTAGCAAGGAACATGCATGTTGCAATACTGACTCCTCCTCTAGTGAAGAAAGAGTGAACAAGTGCACCGAGTTGAGCTTCTTCGCAGAGACACGCGGCTGGCGACTGCGGGAGCAGAGGCTAAAATCCCCAGACGCCGGGTTTTCTGGGCTGGGCTTTCCCCGCCTTCCTGTTCAGTCTTATTCGCTCTTCTCCTGCCTTCTGGATTTTTACCCAGGGCTCAGGAAACTGCTTCACCTGCAGCAATAAAGCTCACGTCCATTGCAGGAAGTGCGCACCGTCTGGTATGGCAGACTTTTCTCCCCAGCAAAAGTGAGTACCTAGGTTAGACTCGGCTGCGCGCGGCCAGGGGTGGCGCGGGCGGGCGCTCTCTAGGATCGCGGGTTCGAGGCTGCCTGTGGGAGAGGAGCAGTTGGCTGCAGACGCCGCCGATAGCTTGGGAAAATGTCATGCAGCAGCCAGAGCCCGCGGTCTTGAGAAAAACCCATCCCGTGCTGTGACCATGCTTAAAGTCAAATCTTGATGTCCCTCTTTAGAAAAGCTAAGTATATGCCAAGGTATTTGACCACGCACCCTAGCCTTTACAACTGCGCTGGGCATATTTTAAAATATATTTTCAAGTGAGCCTTTGAAAACGGGTGCGGCGTGAGTGTGGGTTACTGGGGTTGCAGGTGGTTTGTGTCAAAATGAAAAGCTAGGGAGAAAGCAGGGAGGTGGAAAGGGATCAGACACGGGACGCGATGGCAGCTAACTTGGGCTGTCTCCTTTGGGCAACACAAATGGGTGCCGGGTAGGGACACTGAGTTACCTGCGCCCCTGACTCCTTCCCCGCCCCCGCCCCCGCGCCAGCGTACACACCACCCCCAAAGGCTGCTAAGTAGTGGCAGGGACGCGTCTCCCAGTCTTAACCTGCTGGCCGGGAGCTAGGAATTCAAGCCAGGGAGGTAGAAGCAAGGACACACTGCTGAAGCAGAGTGCTGGCACCCTGGGAGAAAAGAAGGGGGCTCGACTCCAGGAACCCAGATCCGGACTGCTGAGGTAGGGGAAAGCCAGGGCTGTAGTTGTGGCTTTTTGAGTAGAAAAATATCCTGTTAGTGACCTCTACCTGTGTGGTAGGGAAGCAACGCATGTTTCCCTAATAACCAAGGACTTGGGGTTTTCTGTGATTGAAACTGAAAATGCTTGCAGCCTGCTATTAATCTCACGAGGGTGGGAGCATCCTTTAATCTTCATTCATGGAATTGGCTGGAAAAGATTTCCCACCTGAGTGTCTTGACCAATCCCCTCTCTGCCTCTGTTAGACTACAACCTTGGGTGTTTACCTTTTCCTGGCCTCAGTTTACTCTACAGAATTTAGGGAAGTTGCTCATGCTTTATGTAAGGAGCTGAACAGTGCAGGAAACAGGAAAATTTCAGACATTTTACCCCCGTGGCTTTTTTCAGAGTAAGGGTCCTTTTTAGAATTGATTGAGTCATTTCCCCAGGGTGGATACTCTTTTTAAGAAACAGGCGAAGAATTTTGCCCAAACACTCCTTGTTGGCCATGCCTGAAAACCCCTTGTCTTTAAGGATGCTGCATCAGGACCCATCCAAACAAGCTTTTGCTGGTGGCTGCGCTGGTTATGGGAATAAGTGGTTGTGTTGGCGGAGTCTGAGGCACTGCTGGGAGAGACAGTCCTTTTTGCTAGGGTGCTCAGACAGTGTGTGTTCTCAATGGCTTCTTCAGTCTGTGAGCTTCCAGGGGACCCCTCCTCTGGACTCTTAATGTCTTACCCTAGAGCAGTGCTTCTCACCCTTCCTGACCCTGCAACCCTTTAATACAGTTCCTGGTGTTGCGGTGATCCTCCAAGCACGAGAATTCTTTTCATTACTACTTTATAACTGTAATCTTGCTACTCCTATGAATTGTCATGTCAACCCCTGTGGAAGAGTCATTCGACCGCACATTGAGAACCACTGCCCTAGAGGTTTCTGTCCACAAATAGCCCTGGAAAGCGGCCTGTAGAGGGTCAGTGTCCACAGGAACCAATGTCCTTCAGGCCAACTGGTTGACTGTCAGAGAGCGGGGCCAAGGATGTGCTTGGAGACAAAGCTTGCTCTGCTCCCCCAAACACAGTGTGGCTAAGTGATAGTATTCCTTTGGGCATATGTACTTTGTCTTTAAAAGGTAGATGGTCTTGACATCTTGTAGAAATGACAATGCCAACAGCACAGAGGCTATAGAGCAGAAAGCACGTGGCATTGGAGCCCGGGAGCCTGCACTTCATCACATTATAGTTACTCTTCAGCAAGGCTCTGGATTTCTCTGAGTCTCACTTTTCCTGATGCAAGATGGGGAATATTTCTGCATTTCTTGTGTGGTTGTTGAGGAAATGGAAATACTATTTATATCATGCCTGACCTCTGCTCAGCCATCAGCTCTTCTCCTATATTTTACTGTGACATTGCAAGTGCCCACTAGTCTGTGCATCTTAGAGCAGTTGTCTCTCCTGTGAGGCTTGTGTTACCAGAAGAAAGGGAGAAACCAGCTCATTAGTCTCTAAGATGAGAGAGGAGTTCAAAATCCAGGGTCAAGTTTATTGTCTCAACTGTGCTATGTCAAGCAGAACTCTGTGTATTGGCAACAAATAAACTACTTGCAGATTGGCATGGATTCTCAGACTTTCTCTCAGTTCCTTTCTGGCCTATAACTTTGCATACAAAATAGTTATCTGTGCCTATAACTACAAGCAGTTGAATATGAAACCAGAAAAGTCCCCACATCTATCTTGAAATACACTAAAGTTGTCTCCATAGAGATAGATGTCTCCATTGCTATCTCTTTTTTTCTTTTAGGTTTTTTGACACAGGGCTTCTCCATAGCTTTGAAGCCTGTCCTGGAACTAGCTTTTGTAGACCTGGCTGGCCTTGCACTCACAGGGATCCACCTGCCTCTGCCTCCTGAGTGCTGGGATTAAAGGCGTGCGCCACCACAGCCTGGCTCCATTGCTATCTTTCATTGCTTGGTACAAGTTAAGATTTCAAATCAACTTAGAAGTTCCCCCACTTGACCTCTCGGGTTCAAGTAGAAAAAAAAAATCAAACCTTAAGGAGAAGGAAATTACATACTCACAAAGTAGGAAAGGTCGATGATCAGCGTGTTCTTTGGAGTACTTGGGTGCAAAGATGGTGACATTGATACCATTCACAGAGACTTTAGAGGGCAGGGTGGTGAATACTTCCGTACGCTTCAACTAATTCTCAATGAAATTTTGAGGGTATGAATTATCATGTAAAGCTTTACGGGTAAGGAAAATGAGGGGTAGAAGTGTGTACCTAGTTTGTCCAGTCCACACAGCTTGGAATAGAAGCCTAGGTCTGTCTGACTTGGTCATCCATTCTTTTTCCATTACCCAGTGCTGCCAGCCTTCCCGATATCAGAACATTGCACCATGTCAACTGGACTTGGATCGTTCTCAAGGGCAGGGCTGACCACATGTGGCAGATGACTCTAAGTGAGGGGAACAGAACTTGTGGCACATATTAACTTGTAGCGACAACAAACCACTTGTGGAGAGTAGTCCTCCTGACTCTTACCACGCTCAGCTGGCACATTTCAGAAAAGTGATAGTGTCGGCAGGTGGAGCTGGGGCTGGTTCTCTGTCACTCACATCCTAGGCAGTCATTTCAAGTTCAAAGAACTCTGGGGTTTTCATTTCCTACTAGGTTTTATATCAAGACCCTCTTTGCATTTGCTTCCTGTGTTCAGGATTCATCCATTCATTTATTCACCTGCGCTCCGCTGTGTGTTGTGTAGTTGCTTGCACAATGGAGAAAAAAGCAGAAATCTAACTAGCTTCTGTGGAGCTTCCATGGAAGGAAAAATGGTAGCTAGCAGGGAGATGAAGAAACACATAGAAATCATTCAAGTCTGGGAAGATGGCCTCAAGGATAAAAACACTTGTCATGAAAGCCTGGAGACCTGAGTTGTATCAATGGAACCCATGACATGTAGAGGAAAGAGCCAACTCCCAAAAGTTGCTCTCTGACCTCCACATAAATACGGTGGCATTACATACACATATGCATATGTGATCATTAAACACAAATATTAAAAATAAATCTATTTTAAAGACCATTCCAGATATTGATAAATTTTATGAAGAAAATACAGAGATTATAAAGTCATGTCCGGTTCTAGAGCACTTGAAGCGAGAATAACCCATAGAGAAAACTGCTCAATTTGTAAAACACCCTAGATTTTAAACACCTGACACCCCATAAACAAAAAGCAAATTTGCTTCTAGTTTTAGTTTGTATATCAAAATGGTAACATTTTAGATGAACCGGTTTAGGTGAAAATGGATCAGTTTTACCTACTAGCTTTAATTTGTTTTAATGTGCCTTAATAGCAAGTTTAGATGACATTACCTAATGGCTTACATTAAATTTGCATAGAATAGCACTACTTAAGACTGATAACTTGCACAAAGATATAATAGGAATTTCCTCCCCTCCCCCCTTCCTCCTGTACATCTATTTTTTTCTCATTGTTTGGCTAATACTCTTCTCAGTTCTACCACGAATTCAGTTATTTGATGAATTAGAGAGTTGCAAAGACCCTCTCCCGATTTTATGCACATGATGCAGTTAAAGCCAATCCCACCCTGTTAGTATGGGACTTAATGAAATTAACTCTGTGGTTACATTTGTCATCAGGTTACAGTCCCTCATGTAGGGAAATCTCAAGAAGTTTTTCCACAAAACCCAGTGACCAAAGGCACATTCTAAAAATGTTACCTTTACATTGCTTCCGAAGATAATACATTTGTATCTCTTAGCACTTCAGAAAGCCAAGGAGAAGAGTGCTAGGATTTCACATACGTGTGCAAAACTCCTTAAGTCATCTCCCATGGAGATAAGTGAGTTTTCCTTACCGTCCTCTTGATGAGAACAGCTTGAACAAGAAGCAACCCCAATCTCCAGAAGGACTGTTTCAGGAGTGTCACAAAGGCCACCTTTGGCGTCTTTCTTCACTGGCTAAAATTGCACTTAGGTATGTCATCGAAACAAAGATACAATATGTTCTTGCAGTCTTGTTTACTGAAAAGGGAAGAGCAGTCAGAATCTAGAAGGAGGGAGGCCTCTGACTTTGGAGATGATGCATGCAGAGACTCAGTTTGTCTCTTCTGCCTGATTGTCCATTAGGCTCACTTATTTCTGTCAGTAATACTGCACAAGTTTACAGTTGATAAGATAATGGCACAGAAAATGCTGAGTGTGTATGTGTGTGTACATATATATGTATATGTGTTTATGTATATGATTATATG